GGCGGGAATCCTGCAGGAGGCGGGCAGCAGCGGCAGAATGGCCCTGGACGTGGCTACGGCAGTTCCCCTCGGAGCTTTAACGGCGGCAACCGAGGACGAGGACGTGGCCGCGGTCGTGGCGGCTCGAATCAGCGGCAACCCACCGGATCTCAACCCTGGCAGTTCCCCAACCCCACACCTGGTCTCCTCGGCCCACGCCCTCACCCAGCCTACCCACCCTACCCAGCCCAGGCCCATGTGGCCCAAACCCTAACCCAACACCCGTACTACCCTACTACCCAAACCCCTGCCTACTACCCAGGTCCCTACCCGAACCCCCCCATCTACAATCCTACCCCTTTCCCGCAACCCACAACTCCCACAACACCCTACCCGTACCCCTATGCAAACCCTAGCTCACCCACTGCCCTTGCTCACACCCTTGACAACCTAAGCCTAAACTCCCACCCTGCCTGGTTCATGGATACTGGAGCCTCTCACCACATCACTGCTGATCCAGATACTTTATCTCATGTATTTCCTTCAAACATTTTTTCACCCTCTCATATTATTGTAGGTAATGGATCTAAAGTGTGCACTACGGCCTCCGGTAATGGTATCCTTAACACCAACCCTCCCCTTTCCCTTAAAAATGTCCTTGTCTCCCCACATATTATCCATAACCTTATTTCTGTCCGTCAATTTACTCGTGATAACAACTGTTCCGTTGAATTTGACTCATCCGGTTTTTCTGTGAAGGACAAACGGACGGGAGCCGTGATTCATCGATCCAGTAGTGACGGACACCTCTACCCACTGTCTCCGCCCCCAGCACACCTACACCTTGCCAAAGTCGACTTGTCCACGTGGCACCGCCGACTTGGCCACCCAAGCCCAGCAGTACTCCATGGCGTCTCCTCTTATGTAGATAGTTTTAATAAATCTCAGTTGGACTCTTTATGTCATGCCTGTCAGTTAGGCAAACATGTTCGCCTTCCCTTTCAGTCGTCAAGTCGTGTATCACTTTTTCCATTTCAATTACTGCATACAGACTTATGGCAATCGCCAGTTCCTAGTATCACTGGTTTTAA